AGGTGGAAGAGATCAACACACGTCCTAGCTCATCTCAGATCAGTCGGAAAGACCCCAAACAGTCTCAAATTGAAGATTGAAGCAAAACGAGGAGAGGGGAAACTGAGAAACAAAGAACACCTAAACGTGAATCACAAGAACAAGAATTCAGACTTTGAATCACAGAGGACAACGAGAGGTTAGGGCCTCCCTTTCCACTCAAAAAGATTCACGGTACACAGGTGAAGTTTAGCTAGAACATTTACGGATCACAATAGCAGTCTATAGGGAGAAGGCCTATCAGAGAGACCTGAAACTAAATAATTGGAGTGATGAGGCTGATTGGGGCAGCCCTCCGCTTATTTATAGAGGCTATTACACAATCTCAATGTACCCCTTGGTAATTAGAGTCAACCACCGAACCCAAGGATATTATGGTCCAACTCTGAGATCCACTGATCCGACGGTCACACGTCCTTCACAACTTAGCTTCGCCTTGACACAAGTCTTGCGATGATGCCACGTGCCGCATCCGATTTCCCCGAATCCACACCTGGGTTTTGAGGCCCAAACCCAAAAACCGTCCACCGGTTGTTTTGAGGCCTAAACCACTCGCAGGTAGCATACTCTCCATACGCTCATCCCACAAACTCAACACATGTCACCGTCGTCCTCGACCACTCGGTCATCAAGTCTACCAGCGCTTCCGCTTGACTTGCCTGTCTGCCGTCTTGACTTGGTCAACACAGTAGATCTCCCATTTACTCTTGCACTTGTCGATGACTGCAGGTGTCAGCCACCCACAGTCGGTCAGCCGGCTTCGCTGGTCCCTCGGTCCAAGTCTCGGCATCTGTCCTTCGCTACTTCCAGTCCATTGGCACGGACCCGTTTGACCTTTACCTTCTCCGCCAACCACCGTCTCCAAGTTCCACACCTATGCACCATAAAGCCAAGAGACATGTTGCACAACAACAATTCATGCCTCGGTTAGTTTAACAACTCAACCCAAATGCGCTACTCACATTGACAATCACAGATAACAAATCAAACCACATGGGTACATGTCGACCATGTGTTCGCAGGTTTGTACAAAGACAACGAATGATTCATGAATGATGGCACTGCCTGCCTCCAGATTACTAGTCTCTCTACTACTGTTGATCGCTTCATCATTAACTGCCATGCTACTCTTCTAATTTTGCTCAAGAGCGAGAGCGCTTAAGCATTAGTTCCCCTTCTCGTTTCGAAGTATGCCTACCAGATTCGTCTCTTCTGCTAACACGACATGTTTGTTTGTTTCGTTTTGTTTCGACAGCCTGTGGAAGGGATCGAGGAAATCATGGGTGTCGGCAAGAGCAGCACCAAGATATATGCCAACATTGATCTGGAGAAGGTCCGCGTAGGGCGTACACGTACCATCTCCAACGAGCCCATCAATCCTCGAGTGTACGAGTCCTTCCACATCTACTGCGCACACAAGGCCGCCTATGTCATCTTCACCGTCAAGATCGACAACCGCATTGGGGCCTCACTCATCGGGAGGGCTTACATGCCTATCACGGACCTCGTAGACGGAGAGGAGATTGACAGGTGGCTTGAAATCTGTGATGACAAGCGTAAGCCTATTGGACACAGCAAGATCCATGTGAAGCTTCAGTACTTCGATGTTTCCAAGGACTGCAAATGGGGCAAGGGGTGTCTGGAGCACCAAGTACCCTGGTGTTCCTTACACCTTCTTCTCGCAAAGGCAGGGGTGTCAGGTTACTCTGTCCCTGGACGCTCATGTCCCCGACAACTTCGTTCCCAGGATCTCGCTTGCTGATGACAAGAACTACGAGCCACAAAGGTGCTGGGAGGATATCTTTGATTCCATAAGAAAGGCCCAGCATTTGATTTACATAACTGGCTGGTCCTTGTACACAGAGATCACCTTGGTTAGGGACACCAACAGGCCAAAACCAGGAGGTGATGTTACTCTTGGGGAGTTGCTCAAGAGGAAGGCCAGTGAAGGTGTCCGGGTCCTTATGCTAGCTTGGGATGATAGGACTTCGGTCCGCCTGATTAAGAAGGATGGCATTATGTCTACCCATGATGAGGAGACTGCAAATTACTTTTATGTCACGGACGTCAACTGTGTTCTGTGCGGTCGCAACCCTGATGGTTCTGGCAGCTTGGTTCAGGATCTGCAGATATCAACTATGTTCACGCACCATCAGAAGATAGTAGTAGTTGACTATGAGCTGCCAAACCTGGGCTCCCAGCGGAGGAGGATAGTCAGCTTCATTGGTGGCATTGACATTTGTAATGGAAGGTATGATTGTTAAACGGTGTTGATATTCCATGTATCACCGATAGTGTCTTGGTTCATTTGGTTGTTGTGCTCCTAGATTCTAGAGCAAGTATAGGTGCACAGGATAGATCCAATCCTCAGTTTGTTGTAACAATATCACTTGTTATACAAGCCACAATGGGGGCTGTTCCCATGCTTATTTAACACATAGCCGAGACCCCTAACAGGGAAACTCGTTCACCTACTTTGACATGGTAATCAGAGCCCTACAACTCCACATGGAGACCTTCCATGGCGTTCCATCTAGCATCTTCCTCCACTGTTTCTGCTGCTCCATCCTTTGGCTTCTTCGTGACAGAGAAGCTCGTCCGCAACAACTTCCCGCTGTGGAAGATGCAAGTTCTGTTGGCCCTCAAGGGTGCGCAGCTCGCATCCTTCATCAACCCCACCCCCGAGCCGCTCTCACCATTCCTGGAGCCGATGAAGGGAGAGGACAAGAAGGAGTCCCCCAAATCAAACCCTGACTATGAGTCATGGGTTGCCAAGGACTAGACGGTCCTCAGCTTCCTCCTGTCATCTCTGTCCAAGGAGATCCTTGGGCAGGTTCCTACCACGGTGGCGTCCGCGAAGGAGGCGTGGGCTGCCATCAAAGGGATGTTTGCAGTCCAATCCCGTGCTCGCATCATCAGCACGTGGATGGCGTTGGCTACGGCGTCCAAGGGGGCGTCTACAATTAGTGAGTACTTTGTGAAGATGAAGGGCTTGGCAGATGACATGGCTTCTGCCGGCCGCAAGCTAGAGGATGAGGAGCTTGTCTCCAACATTCTAATAGGTCTGGATCGGGAGTACGATTCAGTGATGTCAGCGGTGGCTGCACTCGTCGAACCAATCTCGGTTGGGGAGCTTTACACCCAACTGACAAACTTCGAGCGGAGAATGGAGATGAAGAGCGGCGGTGGCTATCAGTCGTCGACAAACATGGCAGCCAAAGGAGGACACGGCAACAACAACAATACCTTCCGCGGCGGTGGTCGCGGTCGAGGTGGTTGCAGTGGCTTTGGCCGTGGCGCCAAGGGTGGTCGCAGTGGTTGCCGTCCTCAAGGAGGCTTCCAGGCTGTGTCTTCTGCCAGCTATGCGAAAAGGAGGGCCATGCCGTCGTCAAGTGCTTCGAAAGGTTTGATGCTTCGTTTATAGGGACCTCCACAGAAATTGGCTTCATCGGCAACTACTTCGTATGGAGTAGATACAAATTGGTACATGGACTCCGGGGGGACCGACCACATCACAAGTGAATTGGAGAAGCTGACGGCAAGGGACAAGTACAATGGTGGCAACCTGGTTCACGCTGCCAACGGAATTGGTATGGAGATTACTTACATTTGTCATAGTACTTTACGTTCCCCATCTAGTAAAATTCATCTTAACAATGTTCTTCGTGTTCCTAAAGCAAGTAAAAACCTAGTTTCGCTTCATCGCCTTTACTCGTGATAATGATGCCGTCATTGAATTTCATCCTAACAATTTTTTCACTAGGAACAAAGACGAAGAAAACCCTCCTTCAAGGCAGATGTGAAGGAGGATTGTATCCCTAAGCTTCTCCTACCAGCTTAATCATCATCGAATAAAGAAGTCCAAGGTGCCATCAAGCGCCGTCGTCCCCTGTGGCATTATAGGCTAGGGCATGCCTCCGCTCCCGTAGTTCAGGAAGTACTTAGCTGCCACAAACTTTTTGTTCCACAGAGTCGAACAATAATGTTTGTAATGCCTGTCAACAAGGCAAAAGTCATTAGTTGCCATACCCATGATCCACTAGCGTTTCTGCTAGTCCTTTGGATCTTATTTTTTCAGATGTTTGGTGTCCTGCGCCAACTTCTGTTGGTCGTAATAACTATTTTGTGAGTTTTATTGACAATCATAGCAAGTTCACTTGGATTTACCTTTTGCGCCATAAATCCGAAGTGTTTCCATGCTTTCGTGATTTTCAACAACTTGTTCAACACCAATTTGATCGGAAAAATTTTAGCTATGCAAACTGATTGGGGGGGGGAGAGTATCTAGCCCTTAATTCCTTTTTCAAACATGTAGGCATTGCTCATCACGTTTCTTGTCCTCATGCACATCAACAAAATTGGTCTGCCGAGAGAAAGCATCTTCATATTGTCAAGGTTGGTCTTTCACTTCTTGCACATTCATCTATGCCCCTTAAGTTTTGGGATGAAGCCTTCCTCACGGCAGTTTTTTTTATCAATCGCTTACCCTCCAAGGTCATAGGCCACGATACCCCTTTTTCCATCTTCTTGGTCAACCTGACTATGATTTTCTTCGCACTTTTGGCTGTGTTTGTTGGCCAAATTTGCGTCCTTATAATGAAAAGAAACTGCAATTTAGATCTAAGCAATGTATCTTTCTCGGCTATAGCAATTTACACAAGGGTCGCATCCGCTTGGGATCCACGCCACAAGCAAGAACAAACTCCGCCATGATTGCTCGTGGCAAAGCAGGTCGCTTCAGTTGCGGGATCGCTCTACGCCGTTTCCGCGCCGCTTTGCCTCGATCTGTGCGTGTGGCTGCACACGGAGATCCGAGCGGGGGTGGGGCTGCCTACTCCACCATCCGCGACCATCGAGGTGGATTCGCCTAGCGGATCCGGTGCGAGCCTCCCCTAATCTGGTGCGGATCAAGCCGATGTTGCCGGTTCTGCTTGCCTCCCCCTCACCACCACGCCATCCACATGCTACTCGCCTCCAGCAAGGTATTAGCAAACCTAAAACATACACTGATGGCACCGTTTGCTGGTGCATGCTCTCTCGTTCTTCAGCTGAGGAGCCTTCTACTGTTGATGATGCACTCCGCGATAAGAATTGGGTTTTTTGCAATGGATGCAGAACATCAGGCGTTGATCCGCAACAATACCTGGCACTTGGTTCCTCCTCCTAGAGGCAAGAATGTAATTGACTGCAAATGGGTCTATAAGGTTAAAAGGAAGGCTGATGGCTCAATCGATCGCTACAAGGCACGTTTGGTTGCAAAAGGCTTCAAGCAGCGGTATGGTATTGACTACGAGGACACCTTTAGTCCTATAGTCAAGGCGGCACTATACGACTAGTTCTCTCCATTGCAGTCTCAAGAGGATGGTCACTTCGTCAATTAGATGTTCAAAATACTTTTCTTCATGGTATATTAGAAGAAGTATACATGCATCAACCACCTAGTTACGTCAACAAGTCATGTCCCAACTATGTGTGCAAGTTGGACAAGGCACTATATGGTTTGAAGCAAGCCCCACGTGCATGGTATACTAGACTGTGTGGGAAACTAGAAGCATTGGGATTCATTCAGTCGAAGGCTGACACCTCTTTATTCTACTATAACAAAGGGGGGCACAGCCTATTTGTATTGGTTTATGTGGATGACATTATTGTAGCAAGCTCATCTCAAGAAGCCACCAACGCCTTACTCCGTGACCTGCAGCGTGATTTTGATCTGAAGGACTTGGGAGATCTTCATTATTTTCTAGGCATTGAAGTCAAGAGAAAACAAGGTGCCTTAGTTCTGTCTCAAGAACGATATGCATCTGATATTCTCGACACGGTCAGAATGAGCAAGAGTAAGCCGGTCGACACACCTTTGTCCAAAGACTCGAGAAACTTAGCATTAAGAACGGCACTAAGCTTGATCCGTAAGATTCCACTCGGTGTAGGAGTCTTGTTGGTGCAATTTGCAATACTTGACATTAACTAGACCTGATATATCTTTTGCCGTCAACAAAGTATGTCGGCTTTTGCATGCCCCAACATCTGTGCATTGGAGCACCATCAAATGGATCCTGAGGTATGTACATGGGACTATCACCTTGGGTTGAAAATTGGACCATCAAAATCTATGCTAGTTAGTGCTTTCTCAGATGCCGATTGGGCAGGTTGCGTTAATGATCGAAGGTCGACAGGTGGTTTTGCAGTTTTCCTTGGTGACAACTTGATCTCATGGACTGCTAGGAAGCAACCAACTGTGTCACGGTCAAGTACAGAGGCTGAGTACAAGGCGTTGGCAAATGCAACTACAGAAATGGTTTGGGTTCAGAAACTATTAACTGAACTTCATGTTCATCATCCACCCATGGCGCGATTATGGTGTGACAATCTAGGTGCTAAGTATCTCTCGGCAAATCCAGTGTTCCATGTAAGAACAAAACATATAGAAATTGATTTTCACTTTGTCGAGAGAGGGTTGCACAAAAGCTATTGGACATCGTGTTCATAAACTCGCATTTAGCAAGTTGCAGATGGTTTTACCAAAGCTCTTCCTGTGGTCAAGCTATGGCAATTTAGAAACAATCTCAACCTTGTTAGTGGCTGAGATTGAGGAGGGGTATTAAACGGTGTTGATATTCCATGTATCACCGATAGTGTCTAGGTTGATTTGGTTGTTGTGCTCCTAGATTCTAGAGCAAGTATAGGCACATAGGATAGATCCAATCCTGAGTTTGTTGTAACAATATCACTTGTTGTACAAGCCACCATGGGGGCTGTTCCCATGCTTATTTAACACGTAGCCGAGACCCCTAACAGGGCAACTCGTTCACCTACTTTGACAATGATACCCAGTATCACTGCTTGTTTAGGACACTTGACACTGTCCATCATGATGACTTCCACCAGCCAAACTTTAAGGGTGGATCAATCAAGAAAGGTGGTCCAAGAGAGCCATGGCATGATATTCATTCACGGCTGGAAGGGCCAATTGCTTGGAATGTTCTTTACAACTTTGAGCAGCGATGGAGGAAGCTGGGTGGCAAGGACCTCCTTGTATGTCTCAGGGATCTTTTTGACATTGTTATTCCCCCCTCTCCTGTGATGTTCCCGGAGGACAGAGAAACATGGAATGTTCAGCTCTTCAGATCCATTGATAGTGGTGCTGCTTTTGGTTTCCCTGAGACTCCTGAGGAAGCTGCAAGAGCTGGACTTGTGAGTGGAAAGGATCAAATCATCGACCGGAGTATCCAGGATGCATACATAAATGCCATCTGGAGGGCGAAGAACTTCATCTACATTGAGAATCAGTACTTCATTGTAAGTTCATATGGATGGAAGCCCCAAGGCATCAAGCCGGAAGAAATTGGTGCTCTTCACTTGATTCCGAAGGAGCTCTCATTGAAGATTGTCAGGAAGATTGAAGCTGGGGAATGATTTACTGTTTATGTTGTGGTGCCAATGTGGCCTGAGAATCCACCAGAGAGTCTTCGGTTCAGGCATTCCTTGACTAGCAAAGGAGAACAATGGAGATGATGTACACTGACGTCACACAAGCTCTCCAAGCCAAGGGAATCGAAGCAAACCCCAAGGACTATCTCACATTCTTCTGCTTAGGTAACCGCGAGGTGAAGCAGGAGGGAGAATGTGAACCCGAGGAACACCCAGAACCTGACACTGATTACATCTGTGCTCAAGAGGCTAGGAGGTTTATGATCTATGTTCATAGCAAAATGATGATAGGTAATGGATCAGTTGTACTTTGCCCTCGTATTGCAATTAAGTTTAGTGATATAGAATATCTATTTTATACGTTCACACCTAGAGCATGTTTTCTTTAGCTACAAAGCATGCATTTCTTCTTTACCTGTATTGGAAGCAAGGGATCACCTTAAGTTAGAATTATAACTATTTTAGAGAGCAGCAGAATCAACTTAAAGCATAAATAAAGTATATCAGGAAGAAATTGTCCTATGCTACTATAATCCTGCTTTGTTCAAAGATCTCATGCTCTTCTGTCTTTTGGCTTGAAACCAAGGGGTATAGTTAGTTTCTCTTGATAGTAAAGCATTGGGCACCCTGCTTACATTGTTTTCTTCTCTTGGCTTCAGAAGTGTCAGATTTTCTGTTCATGATAGTAACCTTTATATAGCCATGCATTACACTATATATGGCCGTAGTTTTTCTATAGACCACATATCTTTTATTTATCAAAATTTAGGAGCATGGTTGATGTTGTTGTGAAACTTACTCTTCTGATGTGGATATATATGTTTGGATCAACATGTTTTCTTAGTTAAAAACATAACTATGCTGGAAAGGCATCAATATAAAAGGAACAACTATCCTATATATGCTCATATAATTCCACTTTTTTGAAGGAATTAACACTCTTTTCAAATGAGTAAAAATAATTCAATGTATACAGTTAGTTACAATTGGTACCAAAATGTTGAACAGCCGAATTCCTGCTTGAATAGCTCCCTTGCTTGAAAGGCATCCATTTGTCGATGAAGATGGCAACATTTTTTGTTTGATTTCAGTGGATGACGAGTGCATCATCATTGGGTCCGCCAACATCAACCATAGGTCCATGGACGGTGCCAGGGACTCTGAAATCGCCATGGGCGCGTACCAGCCGTACCACCTGGCTACCAGGCAGCCTGCCCGTGGCCAGATCCACGGCTTCCGGATGTCTCTGTGGTACCACTACCGGAAACACCTAAGTTGCCGAGTGTCCCCACCTTTGCCGTGGGCAAGATTTCGGGCACTCGGCAACAACAAAACTCACGGCATAACATTTTACGCCGAGTGCCTACACTCGGCAAAGAATAGACACACGGCAACTTCATGTCCGGGTAACACCGTCGACCTCCATTATCATTTTGCCGAGTGTCACACGTTAACACACGGCAAACCCACCTATATGCCGAGTGTCAAAATACGACACTCGGCAAACCCACATCTATACCGAGTGTCACCTTGCGACACTCGGCACATTCTGTTATATGCCGAGTGTCAGCATCTGACACTTGGCAAACAAATTTTTTTTTTGATTTTGCCCCCCAAACTTTTTGTACTGTTGTCTTACAATACATGTTGCTATGTGTTGAAGTTTTGTACATTTCTGAGTTATTTTACTATATTTCGTCAATTTATTTTAGTCAAATGAATTTTCGGTAATTTTTTGGATTTGAACTGCAAGTGCTTCGAATATCCGAAAAAGTGAATAAAAAAATGATATTCTTGTCACTGAGTCTGTTTTGAGACCGTATCCAGGGCCAGACCAGAAATTTCGAACATTGTGTTCGCGAAACATGAGCAGAAACGCGTGGCGGAAACGTCTGAAAATTCTATAAAAAGCAAACGAAGTCTGAAAAATAACGAAATTCGTCGAGTTGTCATGATATCATACGTGGAGGCTATGGTAAAAAATTGAGAGTGTTTCGGCAAAGTTGACACGTACGTTGCTTACAAATCGGATCATCTCGGGAGAAGTTTTTGAGATGTGAGAAAGATCCGGTAAGATGAGGAGACAATTTGAATGTCGATTTGGAGTTTCACTTCAAAATTTTTTGTATATACAATAGAGAACAAAGATCGCTTCTTGTGAATTTTTGGCAATTTTTCGGAGCCATTTCGTAATTTTAATTCTTTCGTCGTAATTATGGAATTTTAGATGCGTGATATACAAACACATGAAATAATAGTCCAATTTTTGTACAAGCTTGAAATATACATTTGTGAGTGCACCTAACAAAGTGTAATGCAAGTTCATTTCATGAAATTTGTGAAACATGAAATAGAGGAAAGTAATTAAGTAGAGGAAAGAAAAGGGCAACATGAAATATAGAAATAAGTTTGCCGAGTGCTGCATAGGTGGCACTCGGCAAACTGATGGAATTTTTTAAGGGAGAACAGGGATTTTTAAGTAGTTTACCGAGTGCGCCATCGGCCGACACTCGGCAAACTGATGGAAATTTTTAAAAAAAACGTTGCCGAGTGTCGTATCGGGCCGACACTCTCAAAAAATGTGTCACAAGATAGATAGGCAAATGGGCCGGCTCGCCATTTCTCCATTCCTCCCCACTCCACTCCCTCCCCACTCCATCGGTGGCCGTCGACCTCCCTCCCCAAGGCCACCCGTCCGAGCTCCTCCCACGCCCCTCCTCCTCCCACTCCATCGTGCTCCCCACGCCGCCCCGAGCTCCCCCCCGCGCCTCCCCCTCCCCACTCCGCCCCCTCCTCCCCTCCCCCTCCCGCCCACCGCCTCGCCGACTGACCTCGCCCGCCTTGGCCGGTCTGCCACAGCCACCGGCATGCCCACGCCCCCTGTCCCCATTGCATGAACCGAGAAGCTGGCGCGAGCACACCCACGAAACCGCCCTAGGGTTGTGGAGAGAATCGGCGGAGACTTCGCCGTCGCCGTAGGAGCCCACCGCAGGATCCCACCGCTTCCCCATTCTCCGTTAAGCCCCATTGTATTCTCACCGCTTCTCATATTGTCCTCGCTTAGACACCATCGAGTGATTTCAAAAATAGCTGTTTCATTTGAGGATGGAGATAGTTTATAAATTAGAGTTGATGGTCGATGAATGCTTGAATTGGTGTTAGCAGGTTGTCATGATTTGTGATTATTAGTCCGATTATGTTCCTACCGTCCCTTGATATCCTTTTTTGAGTCGATTTGCCTTTTGAAGTCTGATTGCTTAAAGTTTAATCTACAGCTTGATTTGTAAATATCGCTTTTGAAAATTATGGGAGGTGCCTTTCCTGCCGCCGAAATTTCTGTTACGTCGAGTTGATTTGGTATTGTGAGATAAATGGCATATGACTATATTCATGAAAATAATTAGCTACTATAAAGCATGATGAATGCCCTTGTAGCACTTCGTTCTTCTCCAAATTTCAAATTTGTAGGCTGTTTTTTTTCATTAGCAATCTTCCTAGTTGTAGCATGCCTATGAATATAGTCATATGTCTGTCTTTACAAAGCTCACTTGGTGGACTAGCAGCTGTTCTCTTGGCCATTTAGTGTGTGTGTTGTTTATCTTAAAATAAAATCCTGTGGATTTTCCATTTGAGCTAGTTGTTGGTGACACACTACTGGTGTCATCCAATGAGGATAGATGCGCAAGGTCAATCCTGTTATAGATGTGGAGAAAAAGATGCTAACTAGATCATATCCTGGTGAAGTGAAGGAGAATAAAGCCATTTGAGGCTATAGTGCAGTTGCAGTTGCAATGGCAAGCATGAGATGACACCACTCAGGCTAAAGAGAGATATGCTTTACTGCTAGCTGTTACAGCCTCACTTTCTCTTCTTGTGTGGTAAGGGTAGAAGCCAAAGCATGCTGTCACTTGCAAGCTGTGCGTGATGCCCAGCACCAGCAGTAGCATTAGTGGATTGAATAAGGGCAAAGGAAGAGAAGGGCTAGAGTCAGGAATATACGGGAGAGACATTCCTGTAACTAACCACTTTGTTGTTACCAGGACCGAAAACTGAATTTTTCCTTTTCACTGAAGACTGAATCTTGATTACCAAGATGGTGATATCTACTATTGTTTTGTTGTCGTGAGACAGCTTTGCCTTTGTGACCAGTAATCTTGATCATCTAGTTCCAAGTGTATATGCAACTATTAGGCGGAGGAGGAGGAGCACGAGCATGAGGAGCATGAGGAGCAGGCCGAGCAGGAGGAGGGCGAGCTCGAGGAGCCCTCGGCGGGGGGTTCCTCTTCCTCTGCTTTGAAGATCTGGTTGTGAGGCCCTTCACGCCTCCCGGACCAGCCTATACCTTTTACGAAACGGCCGGTGATTCGCCCCAATGGGCCAAGGTAAGTATCTTAAGATGTTATCGCTACTTCATTTGATATGTTTAACATGGCAAAATACAAAATAATATTCCTTCGTTAATCACTTGGACAGGGGATGGAAGGTTGTGGCTGCAGGTGATCACAAACGCCTTCCCGGTGGAATCCTGGGTCTTCTGTGTAGGGAACACTTCCCCGTCCTGGTGGACTGGGCAGGAGGGGTGGAGCCGGCCTACACGTTCGAGCACTACGCCTCTGCCCCCGATGCACGAGATCGGGAAGGCAGGAAATTCGACAACAAGGCGCAGCGGGTTGTGAAAGAGCTGTGGGTAAGCCTTCCCCGCACTATCTTGCTCAATACATTGCATTCCTATCACATCCTTGAAATAATGACTACATACATAATGTTTATATGCAGGATTACTACAGATGTGACGAGGGATACGAGGAGAGGGCCGAGAGGCACGCTTACAAAGCCTGCTACAAGCTCGTGAAGGACATGCACTACGAGGCGCGTATCCTGGCTGTACAGCAATACAAAGCTGTCTTCGAGGAAGTGAAGATCGACAAAGACCTCGCAAGAACCTTGACGCTGACCAAAGAGCAATACATGCTGGTAAATACTGT